CGGCCGCTTCCCTACGACTTTAAAAATGACTTTCGTAGAGGTTTTAGACACTGATTCAGAAGCTCTGACGGGCTCAGGGCCTGAGCTGATCTGGTTTCTACACCAGCTGCAGCTCTGATCTTCATCTGTTCCAGGCTAAAGGCTTCGAGCTGAGTTACCTAGAGAAGGTGGTGGAGGTGAAGGACACGGTTCATCGTCACTCTCTGCTGCATCACACCTGCAGCCTGGTGATGGAGAATTACCCAGAATCCTCTGACGTCTACTCGGAGATCCCCGCCATCACCCGATCCGCTAAGGTACCACTTTTTTCATCTACGTTGTCTCGTCTTCCTCTGTCCCCGTCCTCACCGCTCCAAATTTTCTTACAGGTGGATTTTGACCTGCTGGCGGAGAACCTGCTACAGCTGGAGCGGCGCAGCAAAGCATCATGGGACAACCTGAAGGTGATGGTCAAACATGAAACCAAGACGGCGCTGATGAACAAGATGACGGATTTCCTGAAGGACTGCAGGCACAGAATCGAGATTCTAAAGGTCGTCCACAGACGCGTCATCCACAGGTAACTGCTTTGTTCTGATCAGCCAGACCCAGAGGAGGCCTGTGGACTGACTCCTCCTCCTCCTCCTCCTCCTCCTGCTGTAGGTTCCACTCCTTCCTGCTGTTCCTGGGTCAGCCAACCTCCTCCGTCCGAGACATCAAGGTCACCAGTTTCTGTCGGATCATCAGCGAGTTTGCTCTGGAATACAGAACCACCAGAGAACGCGTCCTGACCATCAAACGGAAACGAGCCCTCCACCGGGAACGCACCAAGACCCGAGGAAAGATGATCACCGAGGTAACGGCCCCGACCACAAAGATTTTACCCGTTAACCAGGTGACCGGGGGAGTTTTCTCCAGGAGGGGGCTATAAATTAAGAATAGAAAATTACCAAAAACCAATCAAACGTTTACTAAGTTATCACCCCAGTATATTCATATAAATCCCAACAACAAAAAACATTATAAGAGCACTTTATAAAAGCAAAACATCATTTTATGTACAGGTTAATTTTTGAGCATAAATGTTGCCCTTCTGAGGCTGTGAAGGAAAATCTGTTTATTGCATGGA